TTTCCACTTTGGTAATCATTAGCCGAGTAATTCATTAGAACCTTTAATCGGGTCACAGTCTCTCTTTTCAGGCCTCCTTCCTCGTCTTCCCCGCTGACGCCAACCCCCTTCCCCCCCCCAACCTCCCATCTATGCCTTTCCCAGTCAGGGATTTATTAAAATTAAACAGATTAGATGGAACTCCAGATACTGAAAACTGCTCAGCGAAGCCTGCGGTAGGGGAGCGTGGCACAAACACCCCAGACGTTTGTCTCTAAATTGCTCTAAATACCTATTGCAAATGAAATTCTAACCCAGCCGCCATTGAGAGACGAAGAAGTGGGGGGACGGGGAGAGGGGGGACAGAGAGAAAAAAACCAAAGAATAACTGGTCATTTGGGCAAGAGGAGATGTTCACGCGGTGTCGCACGGTATCCCGGGTACGTGGTCGGAGAGGAGGGGAGTGGGGGGCGGGCGAGGGAGGCGCGAGAGGATCTCTTGGCAAGTATAGATTTCGGCTCGGGTTACCGTGAGCAATCAACACAGCTTTTAGGCTCAGCTTTCCCCTGCTTCGTTGCGTCCATGATAGAGTTGAAATCCCAAAGCTTTTATGATTAATTACTCCCCGTAGGTCCGCATATTTCAAGGAAAGGGGGGGGGGAGAGAAAAAAGAAATACCAACACCAGGCCCCCCTGTGCAGCACGAGCACGGACCTGCGAGCGACGGCTTCTGCAAGCTCGTTTGGCAGCCAGGGGACAGCAAGAGTGCAGCAGCACCTGACCGCCGGCGTCTCGCAGTGGGGCTGCCGAATTTGGAGGCTATGCAATCCCACGCTCTTCTGTTTTTTTAAGGGAAGAAAAAGAAAGGCGCGAGATGCCTGAAACATGAACAGCGCACATTGGCGACACGTGCTGAATTCATGTTCGGTGTCGTGGTTAAGTGTGCGGACTCTAATCTGGGAGAACCGGGTTTGATTCCCCACTCCTCCACGTGCAGCTGCTGGATGACCTTGGGCAAGCCGTAGTTCTGGCACAGCTGTTCTTGAAAAAGAGCAGTTTCTGTCAGAGCTCTCTCAGCCCCCCCTACCTCACAGGGTGTCTGTTGTGGGGAGGGGAAAGGAGATTGTAAGCCGCTCTGAGACTCCCTCGGGTAGTAAAGGACGGGGTATAAATCCAATCTCTTCTTCTTCTTTGGGCAAACTGTGTCATTGCACTAAATGGCTGAGATCCACTATATAGCTAGGTGGCTTGGTGTGTGTCTCTGTGTGTGTGTGTGTGTGTGTATATAAAATGCCATCAAGTCACAGCCCATAGGATTTTCAAGGTGAGAGACTAACAGAGGTGGCTTGCCATTGCCTGCCTCTGCATAGCAACCATGGACTTCCTTGGCGGTCTCCCATTCAAATACTAGCCAGGGCCGACCCTGCTTAGCTTCTAAGGTCTGACGAGCTTGGCAGGGCAGGGCAGGTGCCCAATACCTACTGAGGCAGTTTGGTGTAGTGGTTAAAAGCGGCGGACTCTAGTCTGGGAGAACCAGGTTTGATTCCCCACTCCTCCACGTGCAGCCAGCTGGGTGACCTTGGGTCAGTCACAAGTTATCTCAGAGCTATTCTCTCAAGAATAGTTCTCTCAGAGCTCTCTCAGCCCCACCTACTTCACAGGGTGCCTGTTGTGGGGAGGGGAAGGGAAGGAGATTGTAAGCTGCTCTGAGACTCTGGTGAAGGCCAGGGTATAAATCCAATCTCTTCTTCTTCAACCGGTGGAGGCCTGTTTCTCCCTCAAGTGGTAAAATCTGTGTCTGATTGTACTTTCCTTCAGACAGCCAGGGCAGTGCTGGTGGAGCTGAATGCTGCCATGTGAACAAGCAGAAACTCCCTGCATGCAGGAGTGTAGTGCATCAGGGAGAAAGTTAGGCTGGATCCTTTTCCTCTGTCACGGTCGATTTTCTATGGGCAAGGATTCTTGGACAGTTTTTAATCTCCAGACAGACACAGTTCTCCTTTCCCTCCCTTTTATCCTTACAACGGTCTGTGAGATTCGACAGGCTGGGTGGAGGTGTGTGAAGCTCACCTACTACACATACAGCGCAATCCTAAGAAGAACTACCCCCTTCCAAGCTCACTGACTTCAGGGGACTTAGAAGGGTGTAACTATGCTTAGGATTGCATATAGAGGGAACACTCTGTTTAGGGAAGTGATGCTCTGGCTTCTTGGTGCTGGGGGGGGGCAACAGTGGGAGGGCTTTTGGAGTTCTAGCCCCCCTGGTGAACCTCCTGATGGCCCCTGGGTTTTGGCCACTGTGAGACACAGAGTGTTGGACTGGATGGGCCTTTGGCCTGATCCAACATGGCTTCTCTTATTGTCTTATGTCTGGGGGAGTGATGCTCTGTCTTCTTGGTGCTTGGCGGGCAACAGTGGGAGGGTTTCTGGAGTTCTGGCCCCACTGGCGGACCTCCTGATGGCCCCTGGGTTTTGGCCACTGTGAGACACAGAGTGTTGGACTGGATGGGCCTTTGGCCTGATCCAACATGGCTTCTCTTATTGTCTTATGTCTGGGGGAGTGATGCTCTGTCTTCTTGGTGCTTGGCGGGCAACAGTGGGAGGGTTTCTGGAGTTCTGGCCCCACTGGCGGACCTCCTGATGGCCCCTGGGTTTTGGCCACTGTGAGACACAGAGTGTTGGACTGGATGGGCCTTTGGCCTGATCCAACATGGCTTCTCTTATTGTCTTATGTCTGGGGGAGTGATGCTCTGTCTTCTTGGTGCTTGGCGGGCAACAGTGGGAGGGTTTCTGGAGTTCTGGCCCCACTGGCGGACCTCCTGATGGCACCTGGGTTTTGGTCTCTGTGTGACACAGAGTGTTTGGACTGGATGGACCATCAGCCTGATCCAATATAGCTTCTGTTATGTTCTTATGTTCTTAAGGTTAAAGGTAAAGGTTTCCCTTGCTCGAAAGCCAGTTGAATCTGACTCTAGGGGGCGGTGCTCATCTCCGTTTCCAAGCCGAAGAACCAGCACTGTCTGAAGACATTTCCGTGGTCATGTGGCCGGCATGACTAAACACCGAGGCGCATGGAACGCTGTTACCTTCCCACCGAAGCGGTACCTGTTTATCTACTTGCAATTTCTTGCTTTCAAACGGCCCTGTTAATAGCCAAGTGAAGATCCGACCTTCAGTCTCTCCGTCATGTACGTCCCCTTCTGCATTTGCAAGTGGTACAGCCAGACATAGAGCTGGCAGCTCAGTGAGAACTCGCGTATGAGTGATTGCGGCCTTTCGTTTTGGAAAGCAGAAGAGAGAATCTGGAATTTTAAGATGTAGCAGGAAAAAGGGATTGCGGTAGTCGGGCGTGGGTGAGGGGGAAATGGATTTGCTAAGGACTGGGAGAAATGGAAAAGAATCCACAGAAGTGGGCTGACACCTGCGTTAAGAACGGAGCTTGGACTCCCCCTCCACCTTCCAGCCATTTTGGTGTAGTGGTTAAGAGCGTGGACTCTAGTCTGAGAGAACCGGGTTTGATTCCCCACTCCTACTCCACATGCAGCTGCTGGTGTGTCCTTGGGGTCAGTTACAAGTGCTTTCAAAGCTGTTCTCTCAGGGACAGTTCTGGAAAGCGCTCTCTCAGCCCCATTTACCTCACAGGGTGTCTGTTGTAGGGAGAGGAAGGGAAGGAGATTGTAAACCGCTCTGAGACTCCTTTGGGTAGTGAAGGGCCATGGGGTATAAATCCAATCTCTTCTCTGTTCTCTTCTGTTTTGTGCTACCAAACTCTCTCGGACCAGGGAACCCAAGAGGTCATCTTTACCCACATGGACCTGCTCACAACTCAAGCTGCCCTGCTTGGAGAGCCAGCGTTGAAAAAACTTGTAACCCACGTGAGACAGAGCTTTTTTGGTGGTGGCTCCCCAGGGCTTTGGAATTCCCCACCCCAGGAAGCCTGTCTGGCCCCCTCACTCTTGGCTTGCCAGCAACTAGTAGAGATTACTTTTCAGGAGGGACTTCAGAGAATACTGGACCCAACTGCCCCCTCTGGACTGTTGCTATGGATTGCTTGTTTTAACTTTTGTCCCTGTCCTCAGACTGGCTGGTTTTATTGGCTTGGACTTTTACTGCTTGCATTTCCAGGGATTGTTTTGTTGTTTATTTAGCAGGGTACCCTTCAAAATTCTTGTCCTGAGCCCTTCCGAGTGCCATTTGGGAGAAAGGGGAAGAAGAATGCCTCAAACGAAATTAACAACTTACAACTTGCAATCGGGTTTTTCTTGTCCCATCACAGGGACTAGAAACCTTCTTTCCCATTTTTAAGAATCAAAAAAGGAGACCTCAGAAACAAGAAGCGGGTCCTTTAAGAAGAAGAAGAAGCATGTAAGAGGGGGGAAAGAAAACCCTCCTGCACAAGAATTGTGGCAGAACTGCATAGCGAGCAGTTTCCATCCGCCAAAAATGATGCTGAATTTCATGAGATGTGGTTCCTCTTCGCTTCTGAAAGGGCCCGGCAGTCAACGGCTTGACCTTTTGGACTATGAAAGGAAGATGACCCCGAATTTAACCTTAACCTAACCTTTACACCCACGGTGGCCCATACACTTCATCGCACAGCCTGGTTCTCCTCCGAAGCAGGTGACCTTTTCACCTGCAGCCGGTCACCACCCTACTCTATCCTACAAAGAACCAAGGAAGAAATCCTGCTGCACTTAACCGCTTGTGCTTCTAGAAAGAGACAGAGCTAAAACAAACTTGGAAGTTTGCAACACAAGTTGCTGTGTTGCATTACACTTGCTTTTGACCCGCTCCTGATAAAAACCCAAATCTCAGTTCTCAAGGCTCGCATCGGTACACATGAAAATGTTTCCCAAAATTGAGAAAACCCGGGGGTGGGTGGGGGGTGGGATGCATCAAGATGACAAACCACACAACGTCAAGATGACAAGACTGCACAAAGAAAAGCCGAAGGAGCCTAGAGAAACAAAAATTCAACAGGACATACTGGGAGTGAAAGAATCACTATTATGATTTTGTACCTTTTTTCTTGAGAAACACTCGTCTGGTTGCAAGGGGGCTTTGGCGGACCCGGGAGTTCTGTAGAAACTTCACTGCCGTCGCAATCTAGGTAGTGGGGAAGGGTTCGGGAAAAGAGGAAAGGAAAGAACAAGATTTAGTTGGGACACGTTAGAATGCAGATTCACTTGACATGTGTGCATTGCACCGTTTTGTCCTGACCACGTGCTCAAAACTCAGAACAAAATGCCCAGTTAGAAAGCACGGTCACTCGGGTGCAATAATGAAGGTCTATGAATGCATCAGATGACAGAGATTTATTACTGTATTTAAATCCAGAGAGGAAGGCACATGGCACAGCCACCATGATAGTTTTTGCATGGTTCATAAGCCCTTTTCAGAATGGCAAAAAAAAAAAAAAAAATCACAACTTTTTCTCATGGTTTCATCGGGTTTCTGGCCTTCGTGAATGCAAAGGTAAACATGAAAATATGGGCCAAAAAACAACAACAACCCTGTGAAGATGAGAAATGGAAAGGAAATGAATGAAGACCGTGTCTGCTGTGCTTTTGGGCTGTCCAGACTGCACTGTGCCCCCAGAACGAAATCATACCTTTTATAAAAGCTACGGGGGGTCGGGGCAATGGAGTGGGGGGTTTCCTCCAGAGCTGGAGATCGAGAACGTTACAGCATCAACGTTATCAGAACAAGCCAATTTACAAAAGCCCCAGACATCTGCTTTTCAGGTCTCATGTTCTTCAAGGTTTTCCAAGGCCTGATTAAATTTCTTAATGCTTCCAGGGCACAGATCTGAGAATCTGAATATTGTATGAGAGTTACGTGGCCACTTAGTTGACGGTGGCCACAGGCAAGGCATGCTGTTTCTCCCTCCCACCAAGTCCACAACATGGAGATAACACAGGACTGCCATAAGGGGCGCAGAGAAAATATTAGGAATGTTAACAAATTTCATGAGCTGATTTTAAAAAATCTGAGATTCTGACATGGGTTTTCCCCACTCAGGACAAAAGCGCGGCTGCCTTTCCCCTTGATCATACGATCAAAACTCAGTAGAAACAGTACTATTAAAATTCATGACTGTTTTTGCAGTCAAACAAGATGGCATGAAAGAAAGAAACAAAACGGGAAAGCTCGCAAAAACAGTCAGGACAGGAATGCTCAGAATATGTACAAAAAGTAAAAGGAACAAGTAAAGGGTCTATTTGTACATCTACGAGGAGCTCTTTGGATACCAGAAATATATTGCGCGAATGATAAAATATCATTGATATAGGTTAGGAAATCCCACCGGTAACTGAGGCACTCTGTAATCATCTCCGTTTCTATTTAACAACTGTTCAAAACCAGCCTGGGCCTCTTCTATACTTTGCTATGGCCACTTGTGGGTGAAACTTTCCCTGCCCGGAATTCTGAACATTATCAGGTGGTTCCCTGAAGCACTGCCGGAGTCCCTCTGTGCCGCTTGCACCAGGAGCCGAACGCTGGCTGCCAGGTGCCGAGATCGCTCCATCTGTCACCCAGCCAGTGCCCATTCGGTGCCCGGCTCCCTGCTTCCTAGGCACTGAGTTGCCAGTCCCTGAGCTTATCAAAGGGGAACAAGATGGCCAGCGCTCCTACGGCACTGTGAACTTTGATATCTTCACAAAAGCGGAATCGGAAAGGAAAGATCGGACTTGACAAGCTTGGAGGAGTCACGGCGAAGGTTTATGTGTCTTTTCTAAACGTTCGACGAAACCCTCAACCTACTGCCGTGATTCGAACGCTTGCCTTCACCTGTTTTTCAAATATGCATTTCGGGTCAAGGAGGAGAGTTCTGATGGGCTTTAATGGCCCTTTCTAGGTACTTCGCGGCGCATTCCATCAATGTTGTGTGTGTGTCGTTTCTCTCCCCCCCCCTTTAAATTGCATCTCTTATTTCTTTAAATACATTAATCAGGCTAGTGTAGGCAAAACGGATCCATCGGACAATGCAATATACATGAATTATCATCTATCCAACATGCATAATGGCTTAAAAAAACATAATAGCAGGTGTAGTTTAAATGATTAGTTATTACACCTGCGGTGGGTCTGATTCAATTGGGGAAAATCATCTTTAATAGGTTAAAAGGTTTAGATCACCCGGCTTTCCCCTTAAAGTGGCTGTAGAGAGGGTATGATGGAGTATCCTGTCATTACTAATTCATTTAAGAAAAGCACGGAGGGATACAGCAAAGAACAGCATAAATGAGCCAATCCAATTTAGACATCAGGTAAAGCAGAAAAACACCTTTTTAAAAAGCATGATAAATGAATTTGGTGGGGGGGGGGAGATGAAATTCATATTTTTATTTTTAACGGGAAATTTGACCGAGGGGGGGGGGGGGGGAGAAAGAGAGCAGGTTGGGGAGAACAAATCCACTTTTGAAAGTTTAGCATTCAATCACCCCGGAGCCGTAAAATAATATAGCGCCCACCCACCTCCCCGCGACACATAAAGCGCCACTTTGATCTTGTTTATGCTCCTCTTGATCTGTCTCGCTGGAAATGCCGGCGATAGGGAAATTGCACATTTAAATGGCATGGATATCGGAGCGCCAGATGCAGAAGCATAAATGCCACAAATTAATAACGGCAGAGAAAATGTGCTGAACAAGAAAGATGTCCGAATAAGTAGACACGGAGGCACGCCAGAGTATCAAAAACTACTTTTCCTCTTATATTAATCACTTGCTTCTTTGGGAACTCTTAGGCGTGCCGCGCTCCCCGCTCCTCTGGAGACAACGATGCTGATACAGAAACACTTGTTCAGGCCTAGCCCCATGCGCTCACTCCCAAAGCCTCTCCAAGATGGATGCTTATCCACTTGAAGAACCTCCCAAAGCAGAATGTTGCTGTAGGTTCCAACCCTGAGCAGCTTTGGCCAATAGAAAAAAGCCTTAGACCAGGAATTCATGCCAGTGTGCCATTCACATTTTAACAACAAAGTTACAGAACGAGAGCAAAGTTCAGAGACTCAAGACTTTCCTTGTTGGCAACAAACTACAGTTTGTATTGATGACGAAATTGGACGAAACGACAAACTGTGGTTTGTTCCGGTACCTACAAACCAGGCTCTCAAACTACCTTTTAAGCCTGGGTTGTGCACACGGTAACAAGCTACTGAGAACCAGGACGGCTTGAATCTACGAGCCAAGAATGCGGGGAGGGGGGAGGTGAAGAGAAAACAGGAAAAATTGAATCCAAGGACTTGCAAGATTTTATTCCCCTGACAACACGGTTCCTCGTTGCATCTGTATAAAGCCAAGGGTCCCAGGGTACGGTTGGAGGGGATAAGGTCCAGCTGCTTTGTTGAAGCTGAACAAGAGTAGGTCTGGTTAATCCCTGAAAAGGAGATCCCCAAGGAATCTTACGTAAGTGTCAGAATCCACAGCCAACAACTTGGTACATCCTTTCAGGAAAGGTAATACTTTATTGAAGAGTTACAGATGCATTAACATAGGCACTGTTAAGAATGACGGCTGCCCATGGGGCATAATAGGATATAGGGTATTCGTATGCACACACACCCCCGCCCTGGCCAATGAGCCACCCTCCCACGCACGGGAGAAAGCGCTTCGGCCATTTAGCGCTGAAGCTGGGAACGAAACACTCTCGCACGGTTCCCAAGAAAACCAGACATCAACATCCCCACCTGCAATACTTAGAGATAAGCGTTGTAGCAGCAAAGAAGCACAGGAGGAATGCAAAGGCAATTAGAAAACAACCAACCTCCCCACCCCCATGGCAGCATAGCTGAAAGTAAGCCACCTTGAATGCAACAATGGCAGGTGAGACGTAAACGTAAATCAAGACATATATTCAGGTTGCTGATGTTACAAAGGCCCATTCCAAATGAAACTTTCTGATAGTGTCGGAGTTCGGCACAAGTATAGCCAAACTACTACTCTCAACTATATGCAATACTCTTGAAGAAAATGGGGGAAGATCACAAAGATCAAATCTTATACATTAGGGATTATTACCTACGGGACCATCCGACATAACCGTTTTGGCGGTAGGTTTAGGCCAAGCAAAGAAAAGTCCATCTTCACACGAGAGATATTCCCCTCAGGAAATATACTGGCACAAGTTATGGTGAGGTGATAGTAACTTTTTGAGAACATTCTTAAAAGGATGGTTTCACAAAATTTTTTTTAAAGAAGTTTCTGTCAGGTCGGTCGATCGATTCCTACCGTCAATCAATTGATCAATCTGACATAAACTTCTTTAATGTTTTTTTATTGATCCCTACTGTTTACCACAGAAGTCCTGGCCTGGATAGCCCAGGCTACCTCGATCCCGTCATATCTCAGAACCTAAGCAAGGTCGGTCCTGGCTAGTATTTGGATGGGCGACCTCCAAGGAATACCAGGGTCGTGACACATTAGGAGGCAGTGGCAAACCACCTCTGAAACGTCTCTTGCCTTAAAAAAACTCGCCTAGCTCGCCAACCTAGTGGTACTTCATGCTAAAACAGCTAGAACTCCTGGCTGCCAGACAATCTTAGGATCTCCTGGCTATACTACACACACTGCCATACGATAATAATAATATTAATTATTATTAGCACAGAAGTTAAGAAGAGAACTTACACAGCTAGAGGCAAGACAGACAAGACGGCAGCCAATCAGAAGGGTGCAGTTACATCCCAACTCTGTTACATCCCAAACACAATTTTCCATGGCTGGCCACAGTGGAACTGAAAAGGGGCTGGTCTAAGTGAGTATTGGACCTATTCTCATACAGCCATGGTTTTCAAACAGGGTTCCAGGGAAGTCTGGGATTCCTCAACAGGGTCCTTCCCTGAAAGTTTCCTTGTTCTCCCTTTCTGATCTTCCCCACAGCATGCAAAAGCAAGTAAGTCAGCGGGGTGCAGTGGTTCGAGTTTGGACTAGGCTCTGGAAGACCCAAGTTCAAGTCTCTCCTCCGCCATGGAAGCTTGCTACGTAACCTTGCACCACTCTCTCTAAGTCTAACCTACCTCACAGGGTTATCGTTACGAGAGAGAAAAATGTTGTAAACTGATTTGAGACCTGCTGCACTCGTCAATCATACATGCCAAAAGC